TGGAAAAATTAGATACCCACATAAAAAGGAAAAGGTCGGACCTTTCGAACACTGAGAAAATTTAACTCAAAATAGGTTGAAGACCTAAACCTAAGAGCAAAAATTATAAAACTCTTAGAAGAAAACATAAGGGGAATCTTCATGACATTGGATATAGCAATTACTTTTGGGTATGACACCAAAGGCACAGGCAGTAGAAGAAAAATTGACAAACTGGACTCATTTTTATTTTTAATCTGTGACTTCATAGAGTGAGTATTCTGTATAGAAAATATGTTGGGTCTGGCACTTTTATCCATTTTGAAAGTATCTATCTTTTATTCGGTGTATTTATTATAATTTGAAAAAAACCTGTGCTGTGAAAGGCAAAGTCAAGATAATGAGAAGAAAATGTTTACACAACCACATCTGATAATGGACTGCTATGCAAAATATACAAAAAGCTCTTCACTCTAAAGTAAGAAAATAACCAACTTGATTAAGGGCCAAAGATCGTTAACAGACACCTTACCCAACAAGATATACATATGACAAATAAACATAGGAAAACATGCTCCACATCCTATGTCATCAGGGAAACACAGACTAAAGCAACATGGGAGAGCACTGCACAACTATTAGAATGGCCAGAATCTGGAACACTAACAAAATAAAATGCTGCCAACAGCATGGAGCCCCAAGAACTCTCATTCATTGCCCGTGAGAACACAAAGAGTACAGCGAGTTTGGAAGACAGTTCAGCAGTTTCTTATAAAACTAAACATGCTCTTACCGTAAGATCCAGCAACCATGCTCCTTGGTATTTACGCAAAGTAGCTGAACACTATGCTCATGCAAAAACCTGCACACAGGTGTCTGTAGCAGCTTTATTCAAATTGCCATGAACCAAGACATCCTTAAGGAGGCAAACACATAAATAAAGGGTGGTTCATCCAGAGAATGGAATATTATCCAGCATTGAAAAGAATGTCCTCTCAAGCCATGATAAGACCTGGAGAAACCCTAAATGTATATCACAGAGTGAAAGAAGCCAATCTGAAAAAGCTACATATTGTGTGATTCCAGCTATATGACATCCTGGAAAAGGCAAAACTATACAGACAATAAAAAGACCAGTGGTTACCAGGAGTCACTGAGGGAGAAATATGGACCACAGAGGATTTTAGGGCAGTGAAAATACTCTGCATAATAATGATGAATAATATGTCATTATACACTTGACCAAGCCCATAGAAAGTACAATACCTAGAGGGAACCATAATGTAAAATATCAAATTTGTGTGATAATGATATGTCAATGTAGGCTTATCAAATATCATAAATATATTTCTCTGGGGAGGATGTTGATAATAGGGGAGGGAGGCTTTACATCTGTGGCATTAAGAACTGTATGGAAAAATCTCTCAACCTTCCTCTTAATTTTTCTATAAACCTAAAACTGCTCTAAGGAAATAAAAACTTTTTATAAAACCTAATCACATATAATCAGGAGACAGAAACATTGAAATTACTGAGAATAGTTACTGAAATATGGATATAATCCATGGTATCATTTATAAACTTTGCATATATTTTAACATAATTTATTTTATAACTAATTGTGGTAGCATAATACTTATATGGCATATGTTTTATGATATATATGCAGCATCAAAATATATTTAAATGAATATACATATATTATGGTTAAAGTATTTAAAGAATTTCCTTCTTTTTCTGATAGGCATGCAGTATGCATTACTGATTACTAAATTGAAAGATCACTAATCTAAACAATATAATATAATTATGATAACTTTTTAAGGACATGAAAATTTTAGTCATTTCTGCTATTTACTCAGTAACTGATAGTTTTACTTCCTAAAAATTTGAAACTGTTAAGTTTCATTAGTATTCTCAATCTAACTTCACTGTAGACTAGGCATATTCCAACTAAATAATCTAATTCAAGCTAAAAAAAAACACTCTAAGCAATGATAATACTATATATTAGCAAAATAATTTAAATTCATATTACAATTTGCCCAGTGTATAATGTATATTTATACCTTAGACAAATATATGCTTGAAAGATGAAATGTACCTATATATTGAACTTTTTTATTTTTGAATTGATGCATAAAGTATGCTACCTTCTTTTAGACAATTTGTACTTCAATATAATAGATGAAGAAAACATTCTCTGCTGAACGCATTGAAGTGCATTCCAGAATGGGCCATGAAAACGAAACAGCTCGTTAACTTGAGGAGGAGCCTTATTCACAAAAGAAAACATATGAATTAAGTTACACTTCTAGTTAATTGTTACAGTTAAAATTTGTCTTTCAAACCATAAGATTCTCTGTATGAGACCTTTTCTTTAATATTTTATTTGAAATGTCAGTGCTTATAGTTTCAGTCCCTATATGAAGCACATCCTATTTCATATTTAATTCAACATTATTTGAGAGGTAAAGAAAGTTGTTATGGCAACTGAAGCTCAAAAATAATTTCACTTAGAAGACTTTTTTAACACTTTCACTTCAATATGGCTTTCAGGATGCAGTATGCAACATAAAACGTTGAATTTGAAAAAAAAAAAGTTGAATGATTGGAGGAAAATGTGTACAATGTTGAAATATTTGACCTGTGATACCATTTCTGATTGGCTTCTTTCACTCTGAGATATACATTTAGGGTTTCTCCAGGTCTTATCATGGCTTGAGAGGACATTCTTTTCAATGCTGGATAATATTCCATTCTCTGGATGAACCACCTTTTATTTATGTGTTTGCCTCCTTAAGGATGTCTTGGTTCACGGCAATTTGAATAAAGCTGCTACAGACACCTGTGTGCAGGTTTTTGCATGAGCATAGTGTTCAGCTACTTTGCGTAAATACCAAGGAGCATGGTTGCTGGATCTTACGGTAAGAGCATGTTTAGTTTTATAAGAAACTGCTGAACTGTCTTCCAAACTCGCTGTACTCTTTGTGTTCTCACGGGCAATGAATGAGAGTTCTTGGGGCTCCATGCTGTTGGCAGCATTTTATTTTGTTAGTGTTCCAGATTCTGGCCATTCTAATAGTTGTGCAGTGCTCTCCCATGTTGCTTTAGTCTGTGTTTCCCTGATGACATAGGATGTGGAGCATGTTTTCCTATATTTATTTGTCATATGTATATCTTGTTGGGTAAGGTGTCTGTTACGATCTTTGGCCCTTAATCAGGTTGGTTATTTTCTTACTTTAGAGTGAAGAGCTTTTTGTATATTTTGCATAGCAGTCCATTATCAGATGTGGTTGTATAAACATTTTCTCCCAGTATGTGGCTTGTCTTCTCATTATCTTGACTTTGCCTTTCACAGATGTTTCTATTTTAATTAAATTTAGTTTATCAATTCTTCCTCTCATAGATCATGACTTTGGCATTGTATCTAGAAAGTCATCACCACACTCAACGTCATCTTGATTTTTTTCATGTTACCTTCTAAGAGTTTTATAGTTTTGAATTTTACACTGAGTTCTGTGATACATTTTGAATTAATTTTTGTGAAGGTTTAAGATCTGTGTCTGGATTCGTTTGTTCACATATGGATGTCCAAATGTCCAGCACCTTTTCTTCAAAAGATTGTCCTTGCTCCATTATATTATCTTCGCCCTGGAGTAGATCTTTATTGTGTGTTTTTTTTTTAAGATTTTATTTATTTATTTGACAGTCATAAATCACAAGTAGGCAGAGAAGCAGGCAGAGATAGAGGGGGAAGCAGGCTCCCCACTGAGCAGGGAGCCCGATGTGGGGCTCGATCCCAGGACCCCGGGATCATGACCTGAGCCAAAGGCAGAGGCTCCAACCCACTGAGCCACCCAGGCACCCCTTTATTGTGTTTAATGTTTAATATTCAAGGATTGCAAAAGATAACATAAATAAGTATCAGTTACAGAGAGAAAAGTAAAGATAACAAGAATAATTATAACAGCTCATAGCTGTTATAAAACTTTCTTTACATAAGGCATTGTCCTAAACACTATCTATATATTACATCATTTAATCATTATTTCAGCCCTAGGAGGTATATATTATTATATATATTTTATACACAAGTAAACAGAGATATAGGATAAGATTAAGTAAAGGATTCATAGGCACTCTAACTCCAGTGCCCATTAACAACTATATAGTCCTAGGTATTAGCTCCTGCGTGTCACCAAAGCCTGAATTTTACATTTCCATTCTGCCATCCTGCAAGGACAAGATGATTGATCCTTCCATTCTTCCGTCCTTGTTCCATGCAGGTAGAACAATAAAGTGACAAGGAATAACGGTGGTACTGCAAACAAAGCCAAACACATTATTCTTGGATTGCCGTAACAAAATCCCTTATACTGAGTGATTTAAACACCAGAAACCTATTTCTTCACAATTTTGGAAGATAGAAGTCCAAGATCATGGTATCAACAAGATTAGTTTCTTCTGGAGGCCTCTCTCCTCGGCTTGTAGATGGCAGTCTTCTCTCTTCACCTTCACATAGTCTTACTGAGATGTGTCTGAATCCCAAACTCTTTTTAAAATCACAAGAGTCATATTAGAGTAAGGACTACCCATATAATCTCACTCTCCCTTAAGTAACTCTTTAAAGACCTCATGTCCAGGGATGCCTGTGTAGCTCAGTTGGTTGAGCATCCAACTATTGAGTCTGGCTCAGGTTATGATCTCAGGGTCTGAACCCCTAGTCTGGCTCTACACTTAGCGGGGAGTCTGCTTGAGGATTCTTTCTCTCAAATAAATAAATAAATAAATAAATCTTTAAAGACCCTATCTCCAAAGATAACACATTCTGACATAGTGCTATGTTAAGACTTCAATATATGATTTATGAGAGGGGACACAATTTAGCCCATACACCAAACTCTTCCAGATAGTGCCAGTAGTCTTAACCTTAAATGTTGAAGACTGTGGCATGACTTTACTAGATGTAAAAGCAGAGAAGAAATGATGTTCTGAACAAAATATGCATGTCAAAAGGAAAAATTGGGGGGGGTGCCTGGGTGACTCAGTGGGTTAAAGCCTCTGCCTTCGGCTCAGGTCATGATCCCAGGGTCCTGGGATCGAATCCCACGTCAGGCTGTCTGCTCAGCAGGGAGCCTGCTTCCCTCTCTCTCTGTCTCTGCCTGCCTCTCTGCCTACTTGTGGCCTCTGTCTGTCAAATAAATAAATAAAAAGTCTTAAAAAAAAAAAAAGAAAAATTGGAACATAAGTATTGGGTAGGCAATTACAAGTATCTACTATAACACACATTTGATCCATTTTGTATAGCACATTAAGCCTTCTATAGTTAAACCCCAAGTCAAAACATATATGATGAATTGTTTTAAAATTCTGAAGTGAGGTTACCTCAAAGCATATGTACCGCTGAGTTCTGGAAAGACCCTAGACTTTGAAATGTCGAAAATGTTATTTTGGCGAAGGATTGTGGTATATGAAACACAGACACTAGTGTAAAGTGGTAGATGATGTGGCAATTGCCGTGCATAGCATTATAACATAATGCTGTGTTATAATTTGTTATATTTAAGGAAATATATATTGGTGGTATAGAACAAATTTTAAATATTTTATGGGCTAATCTCAGATGTGTTTGGCATTTTTTTGATTTGGCAAGAATCTCCCTATCGGGATGTAAATTTACACACTCAGGGAAATTCATGAAGGACTATGGGATATAGTCCCTAATGCTTTATGCCATTTTGCTTTGAAATTACATTTACTCTTTGTTCAAGCTACATTAAAAATTTCATCCTTTCTTTGAGCTGAGTAAAGAGGATTGGGCATCTGTAAATACTTTGTAAGTGCCTCACTTCTAGGAACTTATAACAGTTCAGGGGATTTGGACTTTCATAAATACCTCAAATTCGCATACTTCTTCCAATGTTGAGAACAGCCATTGCCTTCCCTAGACAGACAGTCCATAGACCCAAGTAGTAACTGCATGACTTTCAAATTCCAGATTCTCTGGATGATGATTTTTTCTTTCCACTGGGACCAGATGTAGCTTTGCAGGGACTAGAAACAAATAACCTAAAACACAGGGTTCTTTCCCTAAAAATGACAACCTTAGAAGAAAGAAAAAATACACAGAATAATAGGAATTAATGACAATAAAAACTCTAAGTCAGACAGATAGAATAATAAATACAAATACAAAACAGTCACTGGGTCAAAACAATTATGTAATCCCACTGGATGGGATAGTAAGGACTCTCCCCCCAGCCACGTCAAAAGAGTACATTCCTTTTCCTGGTTTTTGCAGACATTGCCTTATCTATTATTTTCCACAATTACTGTGGAACTTCCTTGGAACAGTGAAGGTGCATTCCCTAAGTAGCTTCACAGCTTTCATAGGCCAATTTTTGTTGACAGGAGTTTGCACATCTGGAGATGGTCTTCTGCAGAAAGGTTACAAGTTGTTTCTGGGTAGGCTATGTACTTCTCTGGTGATATAACTGCCTTGGAAACTTAGTGGACTTCCAGTTTATTGGCTTCCGATCAGTTCCTTATATGAACAACTACAGCAAAATATCTTAGACATATCTTTAAAGTCTCCTGTTGTATCTAATGGTTTCTCCACTCTGCAAAGTCCCAAAGGCTTTAGCTTAATTTCCTGTGCTTTAAAGCAATTTAAGCAAGAGGCTTAAGTGATGAAATCACAGTAATTTCAACAGTAGGCAGGATACTGGCCTCCTACAGACTAGCAGCTATATCTTATAGGGAGGTTCTTGAAAAGGCCTATGGCAGGAAAATTTTACCCTGCTTAAGGCTATGGTTTCACAGACATCTGTTAGATAACATTCATTTGGAGTACAAGAACATTTTTTTCAGCCTTTCAACTTGACCCTCAGTCAACTGAAATTGAAGACAACAGAGGTGCCTTTCTGAACAAAGTATTTTCTTTAAACACCACCTGAACGCTACCTAATTCAACCCTATGTTCGTTTCTCTTATTCAGACCTATACTGAAAGCCAAACATGCCAATATTTGCCAAACTCTTGATTATTTTCTTCCTATTTATACTAATTAGTCCTATTGTTCTTGGTCAACTCTACCTCAAAGTACAAAATTAAACACTTAGACTAAATACTTTGTTACACAACCAAAAGGTCAATAGCTTTTTAACTCCCAATGTTCATATCCCATGGTCCATTGTCCAATCCCTTTATTAAATCAATATCATATTTTTTTTATTGTTTGCAGCACCCCACCTCAAATTACTTGTTAATTAAAGGTTTTAATTGGCTGAATTTAACAAAATTCTCCTGATAAAATATTCATAAGTAGAAATATTAGGCCTGTTATTTACCTTTGTTTATACTTGTTACTGTGTTATTAGTATCATTTTCAACCCATTCTTTCCTTGCATTTGTCTATTTGTGTGACTTTTTTTTTTTAATTATTATTTTAAATATATACTGCAACCAGAAAAACCACCTACTCAATCTTAGGCCAAAAGTGAGCAATAAAGACATTTCTGTAATCCCTCCAAGTTTTTGGATTTCTCGCCCCTTTGTCACATGAACAATCAAGATTATATGACAAATAGGGGCACCTGGTGGCTCAGTCATGAGCTTTTGGCATGGGTCATGATCCTGGGGTCCTAGGATCAAGCCCCACATGGGGCTCCCTGCTCAGTGGGGAGTCCGCTTCTCCCTCTCCCTTTACCCCTCTCCCTCCTGTGCTCTCTCTCTCTCTGTGAAATAAAATCTTAAAAAAAAAAAAAGAATATTTGACAAATGGAATAACTGATAATACATGAGTCTATTCATATATTAACAAATCATAACTCATTTTCTCTTTAAGAGTCAGTGGAAATTCTATTTTCTTCCTTAGCTATATAACCTGTCTTGTTCGACCCTTGATGTATGCATACCCCAGTTTTTATACGATTGTTCCATAACATGGAATAAATTAAACTGGTGTTACTCTTCATATACAAGGATTATAATCAAATGACAGAGTTGATTATATTTTGCATAATAAATAGATTAACTTTACACAGAGTCCATGAGGAATTTTTCTGACTAATAAAATTATTGAATATATCAACACTCCTATAATAGTAACTTACTTTAAAATTTTTCACACCAAAACAATATAACTTTTGAGGAATCTCTTTTATACTTTGGGATATTAGGAGCTAATAAATAACATTCATTTCTCTTGAAAAATTAGGGCCAGTTGATAATTAAAATACATAGAAAGAAAAATCATGCTCAAATTATCAGATATTTTCACTGAAGCCAACTGGAGAAAGTAAGTTTAATTTCAGCCAAAAGTGATAACACACTCTCCTTAGCTCCCTCCCCCCAGCATTGAGGTTGGTGCAACTCACCTAAGGGAAGGTTCAGTTCTTCTCAACAGACACATGTATTAAGTATATCTTCCTTGTAATGCTGAGAAGGAAGGGAAAGAGGAATGAAGCCCCAGTGACTAAAGATTTTGCCTGCATAAAAGTGGGGGCCAATGAATATCACCTACCAGTCAAATGACTCATTTTTCTCTATGTGAGGAGGGAGAAGTGAAGACCTAAGTCACACGGAGTAAGTCAGGAAGTTAGGAAAGTTATTATTGTAGCAGCCCCCTTCACAGAGACATGAGTTAAGGACCCTTCCACACACTGAAACAATCTTCTGTTAGGTAAGCCATCAACACCTAGTAATTAATGATTCCTAGTCACTCCCTCTAAAAGTATATTATCTCCTCTTTGAATGTCTAAAGTTATTAAAATGATGCAAATTTATTAGCATGAGAAGAGCTAAGTGTACTTCTTTCATTAATAGCTAATGGTAATGAACTTCAGCAAAACCACAGAACTTCTTTAATCTTTATATTTTCAAAACGCTAATGAAAATGTTATTGTAAATTCTATCCATGAAACCCACATCAATTTTATCAACAGTCGACAGTACTTAAGACCAGAATAAACTCTAAAACCTTATAAATTCTAAAGCCATTTCTCTATTTCTGCTTCTGCAAAGTAAAGCACTTATTTTTACCCACTGAATAATCTTAAAGTAAACCAAGGATTTCCCTCTGTACAACTTATCTACAATATCCCTTTATGTGCTAGAATTAGAAATTATAAAATAGAAAATGAGAACAAAGCTTATTGCTTGACAAATTTACTTCATTTGTGCTACTGTGGACTTGCTCTTCCACTTTCCATAAACCAACAATCTAGAAAGTCAAGGCCAATGGTAATAAGCAATTATGGACAGAGTTATTCTCAATTCCCAAATTGAACTGAGCTGAGGCAGAAAATTTAGTTTCCCTTCTGAGAAGTCATGATTTCTATCAGTACCTCAGGGAGTGAAGCAAACTTTAAACTGCTTCTATTTGAGACATTTACTTGTTTAAAACTCATACAAACCTAAAATCTTGAAATGTTCTCTTCTAATTCACATATTAAAAAGAGAGAGGGGTAGGAGAGGTTCCTTTTGATTCTCTGCAATAGCCCTATTATATCTTACGTGCTTCATTTACAAATGTAAATTATTTGTATCTCTTTATCCAGATTTTCTTGTTACAGTGTATATAAATCCAAGTCAAAATGAATTCATTTGTCAGGTTATTTGCTTTGAAACAATTTATTAAACCTTGAAACAGACTCTGTAACTATTATTTCTTTTAGCAACAATTCTGCAATTTTTGACAAATGATCATATTTGCTTTACATAGTAGATTTCCTGCCAAATTTTGCCCCTTTGTTCATCCTTCAATATTATTTTGGAGATGCTTTTTTCTATGCCTCTCTGTGTCTTACTGTCTATGTGTGGGGATGTTTCTGTGTGTATGTGATATAGGCTATGGATTAAACCGTATTAGACAAATGCTTGTCACAATTTTTTTCTTTTCTTCTTCTTAAGGATCATTTTTTAAAAGATTTTATTTATGTATTTGATAGACAGAGATCACAAGTAGGCAGAGAGGCACACAGAGAGAGAGAGAGGAAGGGAAGCAGGCTCCCCACTGAGCAGAGAGCCCAATGCGGGGCTCGATCCCAGGATCCTGGGATCATCACCTGAGCCGAAGGCAGAGGCTTTAACCCACTGAGCCACCCAGGTGCCCCAATGATCATTTTATAAATCATTCAATAATTCATTGTTAAGTTTGAAGGATTCCAATGTTAAATGTTGTTCAGAAATAAAGAAAAGTTAATGGCTATTTGTTCTTTTATTTATACTTGGAAATCTTCGTACTAGAATACCAAGGTAGAGTGATTAATAATAGAATCTCATTGAAGATTATGAACTCCTTTACCATAGAACCTATCTGAATTTTGAACAGTTCTACATGAACATTTCAGAATAGGATACTGAAAAACATTCTGAAGGTAAATTGTAGAAAATATTCCATTCCTGAAATGAAACATGATAACTAAATATTTTTTTCTAATAACATTGCTATATTTATATTATAGATAATAAAATCAAAACAAAGATTTCTTTTAAATAAGTAACTTAAAAACACTCAAAAGAAGAATAACAGAACTCTTCCATAGAACAGACTTCCTGCTGGCTGTTATCCACTACAGATAATTTGTTTCTTTAATGAAGGATGAGGAAAGGGACCAAGGGTTTTACCTTTCATTTGTCTCAAATGGAGCTTCCTTTTTACATGCTTCACTTTCTTCCAGTAACCAATGCTATGACATTAACCCATAAGAAATAAATGTGTAAGAAAAGGTAGGTATCCTCTGCAATTATTATTTTTAGGTATTTAAAGCAACGCTAAATACTAAATTGTGTTCCCCAGGCATAAGGAGTGGAGCTGAGAAGTAAATACATATAATTTCCCAAATTTCTTTCTCAATTGATTATAAAAGCATATCACTGTTGGTGTCTGCATGCTTAAGTTTTGCCTTACTCAAGAAATGGCATTTTGCCCAGTTTTACATTCTGGTCACTTTTCACTCTTCTCTGCCATTTAATATCATTTAGCTTGATATACATGTTTGTCAGATATATTTAATCTGTGCATTTAACTGCTGGATTTCTTCCAGTAGGAAGCAAAGACAAGTAATGACTTTTACCTTAGTGTGTTGGAGATTTAAATATTTTTATTTTACCATGAAATAAATTGGTCACTAGGATTATCAAGTACTGAAATTCATGGATATTCTCCAGTTTTCATGTGAGTTTGTTTTATTCATCTTTCCCAATATTTCTTTTACAGATGTTATTAACCCTGATTTATCCCTTCTGGAAACATTATAAGGCCAGGTAAAGTTTTAATCTTTTAAAATCCTCCTTAAAATAACTGATTTCCTATTTGTTTGTTTGTTTGTTTTTCTAATCAAGAACTAGCATAGTTTAGGGCATATACCTAAGTATGCATAAACAACCATGCTTACTAATTCTTTTTTCAGTTAAATTTAAAAAGCATACACAGTAGCACACATAACGTGTGGTGCTCCCTAACATCCTTAGCCCCAAATTTCTCAAGTCTCTATTTTTTTTTTAATTCCAATACATCTGAAGCATATAATATGCATCCATAAGAAACAGTAGTGGTACATTTCAACAGGACAACCAACATCAACTTCAAAGACAAACTTTCCTAGAGAGCAATAGTAGTCTGAGTTTGATGGTGGCAGTGAAAAGATTTGTATTTTGATAAAGTCTCCTTAACAGTCTTTGAAAATCTCTGCCCAATGTTGTTCCAATGAATTAATTGATTCCTAAAGATCTTACCTGGTGTCAAAAAGCCTACAATAGTTACTTGACTTATCTCTGGTGCCTGTTAGTTTGTACTTTTAAAATTTTCATATATGAAATGTTCTTTGACTAACTTTGCCAAAGCATTATAGTTGAAATCAAGAAAAAAGATAATGTGAAAGAGATAAAATTAAAATAACAGAAAAGGCATTAATATGAATCAAGAATAACTTAGTAATGTTAGCCATTCATACTTACCCTATATAATGTATTGCCCAAGTGTTTGTAATTCCTTAGTTTTTTTATACCAATAGAATATCCTTGTGCTTTTATAAATTTCATACACATGTGTCAACACTTACTGTGCAACTTTACCTTTGTTACTTCTGGCTTATCATGATTTAGTAGGTTATATAGCTAGCTTCTAAGTGTTATGACTGTAAAGGATGATTCCATCTTTAAACATAGATGACTGGAACAAAGGTAAGCATCTGGTCAATGGTGGCCTTAAAACCTCTTTCCTGGGAAGTTTGAAATTAGAGTTAGGATATTCCAGCTCATTTAATACAAGGGAATATTACTCAGCCATCAAAAAGGACAAATACTTAACCATTTACATTGACATGGATGGAACTAGAGGGTATTATGCTAAGCAAAATAAGTCAAGTATAGACAGTTATCATATGGTTTCACTCATATGTGGAATATAAGAAACAGTCCAAAGGATCATAAGATAAGGGAGGGAAAATTGAATGGGAAGTCATGAGAGAGGGAGAAAAACCTTAACAGAATCTTGACTGTTGCAAACAAACAGCTGCTGGAGGGGAGGTGGGTAGGGGGATGCAGTAACTGGGTACGGAGCATGAAGGAGGGCAAGTGGTGTGATGAGCACTGGGTATTGATATGCAACAGATGAAATTATTAAACTCTACATGTGAAACTAATGATGTACTATATGTTGGTTAATTAATTTAAATAAATTTTAAAAAAGAATATTCCAGCTCATTTACCTAGTTTCCTACTGAATGATGTTTAAATGTATGGCCTGTAAACATTAAGATTTTAAATCTAGGACTAGTGAAAGAGAATCCTCTTTGAATGCCAGCTAAAATATTTCTTAATAACAGCCTTGAGGAATCATACTGAAGGGTTTAGGGAGTTCCATATGTTCTATTCCTAATCTAATCTTTTAAAATAAATATCAATATTATATCTGATAATATCTTATATCTATTGTGCGTTTATCATCTAATAGTGTCTGTGCTTTGTCCTTTATACTGTCTATATCCATATGATTTTTATAATGTCTGTACATTGTAAAAATTTCTTATTTTGTGGATTAATAAACTAATCATTAAAGTCTAAAGATATGTACCAATAAGTAGCAGAACTGATGAAAATGGAATGTTGTATACTTTCAAAAGAAGAGAAATTTGTAACCAGTAACAGTAAGAGGAAAAGAATACTTACTGCGCTCTTTAGTATATTTGAGAAGCTGATGTTATTTTCCTGAATAACATGAAAGTAATGGAGTGGGCAGCACTGCTTAAAACCCCTAGTTTTGTGTTTTGTTTGTTTTTTGTTTTTACACAGACTAATTATTTGATCCATTGTCTCTGACCCCAGGTCTATATTCTGGCTTATAGTAGGAAAACTCTCCTTCAGTTATTTTTCAAATAGTAATTGACAATCTACCATGTAGCAGGCACAGCTGTAGATGCTGAAGATGTAATTGAGAGAAAGAAAGTGTAGCCCTGTCTCTGCAACAGTCTAGCAAAGCAAACATCATTACATTAGCAAGTCTTACATATTTTGCTAAGAGGAAAACATTGAGGAAAATGGGAAGGCATGAAGAGCACTTAATTTGAGTTCAGGTTGTCTCAGAAAACCTTTACTTTTCAAGTAGTAATTATATTGGGACATCTGGCTGGCTCAGTCAGTTAAGCATCTGCTTTCGGCTCAGATCATGATCTCAGGGTCTTGGGACTGAGCCCTACCTGGGGCTCCTTGCTACATGGTGAGTCTGCTTCTCCCTCTGCCTGCAGCTCCTCCTGCTTGGGCTTGCTCTCTGTCTCTCTCTCACTCTTTCTCTCTGACAAATAAAATCTTTAAAAAATAAATGAAGTAGTAATTATAGAATTTCTAAGACTTAAAGATTTGATGAGACTGTAGATAAATATTATAAACAAAGGAAACATCATGTATGAAGTTCTAGAAATGAGAAATAGTCCCCTGTCTCAATGATGACTCCCATATTTCAGGTGAACCATTTCTTATCACTGCAACAACTGAAATCAATTAATTAATTACATCTCAAATATATTCCAAAATAAGATGATGAGAATTAAGTTTCAAAAGATGAGAAAGGCTCAGGTCATTAAAGGAATTTTAAGCAATCCATTCATTCAACAAATATTGTCTGCCTTTTACATGTCAACTATTATATGTTATAGGTACAAAAGCACAAAAATTAGTTTAAAAGTGTTTGTGCTCATGCAATGTGCATTTTAGTGTGTGAAAGAAAGAAATTAAAAAAATGAAGTAGAGTCAGTTCTACTGTAACCTTTTTTGAGAATGTGTATTTGTTCTAAGGTCATGTATATGAATGCATATGTATGTAATATATAGTATATGTACATATGTACATATTTGTATAGGTAATGCATATATGTATATGTGTATATATAAACATATATATAAGATATATGTATATATGTTGACAAAATATAGATATATATGATACGTGTGTGTGTGTGTATATATACACACACACAAACATATATATGAGGCAATGATTTGATGCTATTACACATTTTGTTTGCTTGTGCACAATTTCTTTCACAAGACCCACTGGGCAAAAGCAGAAAACTGCATCCGGCTGAAGCAAGCCAAACAGAAATAAACACAAATGTGCCTGCACACACACACACACACACACCCTCAACATCTACTAGCTACCGTTGTTTACCACATGTAGTATAAGCCACGCTCAGCCACATCTGGTTTTGCAACTCTCAGTCTGGTTTCAGATGACCTCCTTCCACCACTTCACAATGACTCATAAGCTACAATTCTTTAAATGCTAGCCTCTGACACCTGCCTCCACAAGCAACCTCCAGATCTTTTTCAAGGGTCCATGTCATATTCTATAATAATATAGAATGTACATATTTCTTAATTTTTATAATATTTAAGACTATGATATAATTTTCATTAGATTCTGATTGCTTTTTAAAAGGTGTTACTGACAAAGATTTTGCATATTGTATCCTAATCTTACTTTTTTCACATAGCCCAGTGGTTTTTATTATACAATTTTGTATAACATGTGAAGACTTTTAGAAACACATATGTCACATTATAGGGTAACTGATTGCTGATGTTACGTTAAATAGTGTTGAATTCTTATAGAAAAAGTAAAACAGGAAAGAGGGATAAGGAATTTTGGAAAATATTCATGTTTTAGGTAAGGTGATCAGAGATGACCTCACTGATAAGAGATGTTTGAATACTAATAAATGAAACTATGTATATATTGGAAGGGAAAGCATTCCAGGCTAAGGGAAGAGGCAGTGCAAAAAGACAAGCAGTGTAACATAGACATTCTTAAAATTTAGTTCTGTAATTTTTTTTAAAGTCTTATTTATCTGAGAGAGAGAGAGAGAAAGAGCGCAAAGGAAGGGGCAGAGGGAGAAGGAGAGAAAGAATCCTAAAGGGAACTCCCTACTGAGCAGGGAGCCCAACTTAGGGCTAGATCCCAGGACCCTGAGATCATGACCTGAGCCAAAATCAAGAGTCAGATGCTTAACCAGCTGAGCCACCCACGTGCCCTTCTGTAATTTTTTGATAGTACAGTTGATTAGAAAGGAAGTATATTGTGCTACAGTAGGAGATTTCATTGTTTGCCATACAAGTTTTATAAAGATAATGATATGATCAACTAATAATAGGAAGTTCATTCAGACTCAGTGTGTGCACTGCAGAACTGTGTGGGCCATAGGTAGGGTGACTATTTGAGTATGTTCCGAATAATTTCATTTTACACCTACTATACCACCATAATTATTAGTAGTGCTTTCTTTTGCCCTCCCTGGGTGGCTCAGTGGCTTAAGCCTCTGCCTTCAGCTCAGGTCATGATGTCAGGGTCCTAGGATCAAGCCCGCATCGGGTTCTCTGCTCAGCAGGGAACCTGCTTCCCCCTCTTTCTTTGCCTTCTTCTCTGCCTACTTGTGATTCTCTGTCAAATAAATAAATAAAATCTTTTTCAAAAAATGTCTCAAGTTTGTACAAAAATTATAGGCCTGTACTAACCATTGTAATTTCCTAGTATGAAATCACTCAAGGTCTGTTAGAATTTGCCTGACTAAACAGTCTTCTATATGATTAAAAAAGAAGAAGAAGAAGTAGAGAAGAAAGCTGCATAATCACTACCAAGTTCATGTGTTTTGGAAAAATGTCTACTCTATGTTGAACCATTCCCCCCACCTAACCTTCTGCTGAAAGCTGGACTTTATTTGACAGCTTCAAGGAACAAGAGGAACATTTAAAGTACTATGTGTGGGGATAAATCAGAAATGGTTGAACTCACAACAAAGCTATCCAGAAATTGAGTTGTGCTTTTACCTTTTATCTAACATTCCTCCCATGAATTTATTATCACAAATAGAACAGATGAGGTGATAAATTTATGAACATTTTGCTTGTGCCAGTTCATGAAAATGGAAGAAAAAGCTAAGGAGTCCCTGATAATCTGTGTCCATGGTAATCACAAACACAAAAACATAGGACCATGGGATATCCTTTGTATGTACCACTCATACATACAAAGTGATGGAAGCTCATTTACTGCCATCTTCTCAAAACACTCCCCAATTCTACTGCAATCTGCCTCCCAAAGTAGAGTCCACAACCACTTGTCGCTCTGTTTGAAATGATATTTACTTTCTCATGTATGAGTTGCATGAGGAAGTGCTCCTTTAATTGGGATGACAAGATGGGATGCTAGACAGTCCTTTCTAAGCTGACATATACTCCCAACATGATTAGACGTCTGTATCCTTGGGAGGATTCACCTGTGTAACTGAAGGAATGAAGTTCATTTACAGCTTTCAAATTCTTATCTTTCTTGTGTTCCATTATGTCTTTGAGTACTCCTTGATTACTTTTTTCCTGTACCAATAAAGGCATTGACAAATATGTCTGATCATATTTCCTTTTTTTATTTTTTTGGCTTTTTTTTTTAAATTTTTTATTTCTTTTCAGCACAACAGTATTCATTGTTTTTGCACCACACCCAGTGCTCCATGAAATCTGTGCCCTCTCTAATACCCACCACCTGGTTGATCATATTTCTTTATGAAACCTTTACTGCAAATCCTAAAATCTACTCTAGAGCAGTATAGTTACTTTCTAATTAATTGTACTATCAAAATAAAAATACAGAAAAAAAGAACCCTAGGTTTTATATTAGGAAATATTCTTATTCAATCCCAGTAAGCTCATTTCCTTTATGACTTTTGGTAACTGTATTGAAAAATGAAAAAAATAAAATGTGTTATTCATATGTCATAAGAAATTGTTGTTAAAACCAGATCTTCTAAAATAACATCAATTTGGTGAAAAAAATGGGATCTCATTAAAATGATGAAAGTAAGACAATTGTAATCTGTATAAAAATCTTTATCCTGACACTAGTGCGTAACATACATACACTGAGGAAATTTTATGTATATTTGTATAATTTTTATGATTATATGTAAAGACTTGTTTGAATGATTTTGATTTTCTAAATAATAGAGTATACTCAGTAAAGTTTATCTTTAAGTAAGCTTCATCTAAGACCAAACATTTGAAAGCTTATCAATAACCTGGTGAGGCCAGGATTGCATGCTTTAGGATGTTCTTTTTATCTTCCAGAATCCTCTCTTTATTAGTTCAGTGATTATCAAATAGCAGGTATTTACATACTTCTTTCAAAACTTTTTCTATATACATTTGAATGGGTACTATTAGTTTACTTAATGTTTTTCTTAAAACCAATCTTAAATCAAACCGCATTTCTTTCTAATTTGTCCTGAACATTAGGATCAAATTAATGATATCTTCTTTAATATTTTTCCATGTATAAATCATACTAACATGTAACTATTAAAATAATATGTAATTATTAAAATAAAAAGATGCAAAAGAAACCAATTCAGCCAAATTAATCTGTGAAACGAATAAAGGCTTAACTTCTCTTTTAAAAATTTAAAGGGATTCATCCATGTACTAGATCAAATCACTTCATGTACCATGGAAAAAATGTATGCATTTTAAGAAATGTAAGGGGCATTCATGAATTCTTTTGGTTTCAGTACGCATGATATTAGAATGATAGATCAGCACTTATATGTAGTTAGCCTCTTACGAAACCACCAAATGTTTCCTTTTAACTGGAACACATTTAATAATTTAGTCAGTTCTGGAAAATACCCAAGGATATAAGATCACATCATTATGTGACTCTGAAACCAAAGAAGCACGTCCAATAAAGATGTTTTCCACATTAGGAAGGCAAACAACATTAATGAGGCAGGCAGAATGCAAAAGAGAAAACCTCATAAAATCTAGATATCATTTCAGATCTAGCATGGTTTGTTCAGGCTCTGTATTTGACATCCAAGGACATGGAGTGTAGAATATACAGAATAAGTTGGCATTTAACAAGTGTGACTTTCTATTAGAAGCACAGTTGTACAAACACATAGAAAGAGGGAGAATAAGTACATTCATTCTGCATGTAGAATTGAGTAACAAAACAATATCATCCCATAGTCTCCAAAACTAGATATTTCTGGGGACTATAGTATATGAAGTAATATTCATATTGGTTTGAGAAGATGGAAGTCATTTGAAGGCTTCTAAAGATTTTTTTAAAGGTCATTTGCCAAATTTAATACATCAATAACCAATTTCAAAAATTCTAATGAAAACAATATTGATCTTCTAAGAGCTCTATTATAAATTTATGCTAGTAGAAATAAAATTCAATTAAAAATCCTCCAAAGAAAATAATCTTTTAAATTACCAATAATCAATATATATCTCCAAGAGAGACCAAATCTTACAATTTTTCAAAAGGTCACCCAAATAATGCTTCAAAAGGTTTATAAATGTAGGCACTGGCACATCATTCCAGTCTATTCACTCTATTAATTTGTTTGAAACTTAAATGGCCTTTTATTTTTTTTTTAATGTCAAGAAATCAAAGAGCTGCTCACAGAAACATTCCAAATTTGTGAAAAATTAGATACATCAACAGAAGCAAAAATGTTCAAATAAACTTAGAAACCTTTGCAGTAAGAATCCATACAGCAAATGCATTCATTGCATTGAGGATCATTCACTCCCTGCCAAACAACAGAGACCTGAGACTTTTCAGATCAAGATTATTTTAAGAAGACAACTCCAAGTTTCTATTTCAGAGAGGTAAATGTGACGGATGCACATTGCATTTTGAGTTATGACAAGAGTTTAAAAAAATCATTAATGGAGGTGTACAAGG